AGGTAATGCCAATTGTTCCAATTCTGCCAACCTTACAAGAAAGAAGTGCTGTGATTGGATTTCGTCGTTTGAAACCTGAAGGGTCACATTACTATGAGAACTGTTTGGATGTCTTCTCTTGATACTATCTGCTAAATCATTTATCCTTTTTTAAAAAATAAGTGTATCTGTTGTTGCTGTTATGGACCCTGCCCCCAAACACCGTGTATATACTTAAGTATAAGCCAACCCGAGTACCAGCTGAGGCACCTAATTTTACCACAAAAACGTCATTAAAAATGTGCTGAAACACTCGGCTTATACACGAGTATATACAGTAAGTCTTAACTTGAGATGTTGGGGAACAGGCCATATGAATTCTGGATAGACAAAGCAGTCTACAGATAGAATAAAATCTCAGTCTAGGATCGTTTTTTTAAAGGGATAGAAGAACCAACCACCAATTTTATATGGAAAAGACATTCCAGATAAGAAAAATACTACTAAAGAATAAAGTAGGAGGCCTATTAATTCCCAATCTCAAAACCTGCTGCTCACTCAGTCATGGTAGTCAAAACAGCCTGGCATTGGGACAACAGCCACACAGACTAAGGTCACCAATTGGAGAACCCAAAAATAAACCCAGCCTCCGATCTTTGAGAAAGGGGCAAACCAGAGTAAATGGAGAAGAGATAGTCAGTTTAACAAATGGTACTGACCAGACTGGATATTCATTTGCAGAAATATGGAACATGATCCATCTCACACCATATATAAAAACAAACTCAAGATGGACTAAAGACCTAAATGTAAAACCTAGAACTATAAAGATTTCAATTAAAAAATAGAGAAAATTTTTCAACCAAAACTTTTCTCCTGAGGATAAGCTGGTAGGTTCAAAGCACTGACCTCATTGTTAGCAGCTCAACTCATAGCCTACTATGCCACTACGGCTTCCAATGGAGGAGCCCTAACCCACAGCATAATTATATGTAATAAAAAACACACAAAAACGGGAGACCAAGGTCTCCTTAAAATGAAGCACTTATGTGCAACAACTCCAAAGAGTAAAAAGAAGCCACAAACTAGGGGGGAAAGGTTGGCAATGACATATCAGATAAAAGAGTAATTCCTAAAATTTAGAGAAGACTTTATAAAGCAATAATACAAAGACAAACAATCAATTAGAAAATGGCCTACATTTATAGATTTAGTATTAAGGTAGCAGAAGGACATTGGGCCTCCACTCAAGTACTCCCTCAACACAAGAATACTTTCTTCTA